CGCCCAGCCGCCCCCTGCTCCCTCCACCTGGCCAGACACCTACCCCCAGCCTGCTCCTGCTCCCTCCACCTGGCCAGACACCCTGCACCCAGCCTGCTCCTAACCCTTCCCCCCCAGCCAGCACCCTGCTCATTTGGGGCCCAACCCCCCTCTGGCCATGTTCCTGGGCCTGATCCTTGGACAGGCCTCGCGGTCCAGCCCCTATCTGGCTGCAGGAAGGGCTGGCAGCAACCCCCATCTCTCATCCTTCTGCGACGGAGGTAGGACAGGAGGCCATGATCCGGCCGCTGTGATCCTGGCCCGGTCCCTCATCAGTTGTTATTATTAACACTTATTTTTATTATGTTGTAGGTTTTGATGTTGCGAAGACTGGTGATGCTCGAATTGGGTTTGTGGGTTTTCCCTCAGTGGGAAAATCTACTCTGCTGAGTAACCTTGCTGGTGTGTATTCTGAAGTTGCAGCATATGAGTTCACCACATTGACTACTGTGCCAGGAGTCATTCGATATAAAGGAGCAAAGATACAGGTGAGACCCTTTTTCTAAAACGAGGTGTGTATAAGTTGGCTTTGACACTAGCTGAACTATCTAAACTATTGTTAAATTAGAGGTAAAGTAGTATGTGGGAATGTTTTGTGGAGCTACTTCTAAACATCTTTTACTGAGTTTTAACTTTAAACATTTGTCAGTACTGCCCATGGTGCTTCAGTGGGAAAGTTCTACAGCTGGGGAGTTTTTCCACAATTCATTTAATACAACTCTCCATACTTCATTTCATCAATACAAAATTGGAATTAAATTTTGGATGTTGTGGATAATCAGCTGAATAGGAGCTTCAGTTGGGATGCTGTATCCAAAAGGGCTAATATGATTGTCAGATGGATAAATGGGAAATGTCAAGTAGGGGTATAGAGAGGTTTTTTTACCTCTGTGATTGGCACTGGTGCAACTGCTTCTGTAATTTTGCATTCAGCTCTGTTGCCCATAGTAGGGATGTGAATGTGTAGCCAGCTATACAATTAACTGGAAAGCCTAGGCTTATCGGTTAATCTTGTTGATTACATGCATTCCCCCCTTCTTGTTTCTTCTGATACAGAGTGTGGGGATGGGGATAGACTGGAGCCAATACATGTGAGGAACCAGCTTTCAAGCCAGCTCTCTACTATATCAGAGGCAGCAATGTAGGGCAGCAGGCAGCTGATCCACAAGGGGAGCTGGTTTTGAAACTGTCTTTGTTTGCGTACTGATTCTGCTTGCCATCCTGCATTGCTGTCTCTTCTACCCTGTACTGCTGCCTCTGTGGCAGGGAGCTCCCTGGGAGTGGGGTCAGGAGTGCACTGGCTTTGCTGCTGGGCCTGCTCCTGGGGACTCTTGAATAGTCATGCAACTGCTAAGAATTCATGCAGTTACAGAACTATTTGTTTGCACAATATCTAACATACTTAGGCTACAATTTAGCAAAGATGTTGATTAATTGAGGGTTTAGAGAAGAGCTATGAGAATGAATAAAGAATTAAAAAACATTGAATAGTGTTAGACTCAAAGAACTCAAAAGAAGGCTATGGGGTGACATGATTAGTGAGTAAGTATCAGAGGGATAGCCATGTTAGTATGTATTTGCCCACAAAAGGTTATGCCCAAATAAAACCCTTAGTCTTAAAGATGACACAGGACTCCTCATTGTTTTTTGCAATGATTTAGTACCTACATGAACAAATTCTGAGACAATTTTTTTCTGTCATCTTCTATTGAGATCCCCAATAGATTCAATTAACTTTAGAAGTGGGATGAGGTCTTGTTCCTTTGTGGCAAGGGAGGCATACATAATGGATTTCCTTCTTCTCTAAACACACAGCTTCTTGATCTCCCGGGAATTATTGAGGGAGCTAAAGATGGGAAAGGCAGAGGTCGGCAGGTCATTGCAGGTGAGTGGCATAGGGCTGGAAGAAGCAGTCTGTCACCAATATAGCCATTATCATTTCTGCTGGAGAAGCACCAGTTTGAGTTTGCTTTCTGGGCTTGGGAAATCCTGTATTTCTAATGCCTTGAAAGTATTCGTTTCTTTTATAGTGAAGTGAGTTATTTAATCCATAGACAAAGGGGGGAAGTGGTTGTGTTCCACTTGAATGGCTAGATTGCCTGAAGATTGGGCAGACCCTAATACTGAGATGTTTTGTATCTGCCCTGAAGCACTATGTTTCAGATTCAGGCCCAATTTCACATTAAACAAAACTTTTAATTTCTCTCTCACTTATTTCCTATGCCTTTTTTGAGGTGTTGAAATGTAGACATCAGGACTATTTCATCGATTTGATTCTTTAGGTTAGAGTCTAACATCTGCATTAGGTGATATTATTTTACTAAACTTAATCTGGCAGCACAAAACCCAATAGGTTATTGACCAAGAAAATCTAGTGATGCTTTAAAAAACGTGACATGACTTATTCCTCATTGGCAGGGCTCGCTGAACCGTGGTGAGCCCCGCTCACCAGCCGTGCTGTCCAGCGATCTGTGCATGCGCAGATCGTTCTGCGCATATGCAGATCGCCCGAACCCAGCTCTTCCGGGTTGCAATCTACTCGCCCGTGGCGAGGAGATTGCATTATTTGTTGAGCTCTGCTCATTGGTTCTCATGGGTCTCACTGTCTTCATCAGAAGACACGTGCCTCTTAAATTCAGCCATGCAGTAACTTACTGCTCTCTCCACATGCCAGGCTAATGGCAGTGAAGAAAAAATCATTGTGTTAAAGTGGGATACTGGAATTAACTGCCGCCCACATTGCTTCTCCAACTGCCGTATTGAGGTGAAAAGATTAGTTCTGAAGCCATTCAGTCATTGACCTCTGTTTGCTATCCAGGATATTAGGTAGGAAGGTTTAAGTTCAAGCTAGATGAGCTAACTGGCCTTTTTACCTTTAATGGCTTTTACATAAGAATGGCCAGACTGGGTCAGATCAAAGGCCCATCCAGCCCAGTGTCCTGTCTGCCCGCAGTGGCCAATGCCAGATGCCCCAGAGGGAGGGAACACAACAGGGAATCCTCATGTGATCCCTCCCCTGTCACCTACCTCCAGAAACTTTTATATAATGAAAACATCATGATATAGACTAAGACTAGAAATTTTGCTCTTTTAGGCCTCCGAACGAACTTTAAGTGGTAACTAAATTGCAGTTGCTACCAACTTAAATAGGATTCAACCAACTGATGGTATCGCATCTTGTCACCAGTTTTGATGGATATTTTTGTTTTTCTAGAAGTACTGTACTTTTTAAAAAAGGTCTGGGAATTAACCCACTGGAGGAACTTTGTTTTCTGATCCTCAGTTGCTCGAACTTGTAACCTCATTCTGATTGTTCTGGATGTACTAAAACCACTGGGGCACAAAAAGATAATTGAGAATGAACTGGAGGGCTTTGGAATACGGCTGAATAGCAAGCCCCCAAATATTGGTTATAAGAAGAAAGATAAAGGCGGCATCAACCTCACAGCCACAGTAAGTATGAAAATTACAACAGGCTGTTATGATGGGGGATTCAGAGGGCTGCTTAATTCTAGAAGGATGCTGTCTCCATAAATGGAGAAACTGGTTACACTGGTTCAGTGCTTAGGAAAGAGTTCCTTCTCCATCTGGGATACTCATGCTTGCAGCAGTGACCTTCTGGAGGCAATACTTGCAGTAACTAAGTGAAGTCCAGCCTCTGAAAACATCTTACTAGAGCCCTTAATGGGACAAATGGGATCAGTAAGGCAATACTATGAATTGAGATTTCTCTCCACTGTCCCCAAGCCATCTATGCCAAAAATATCAGTTCCAGCAATTTGCAGTATATTAATTATTTCTTGACTGTGTGCAGTTAGGTGATTATATTTAGTCAGTTATTACGTTCAGTGATGCTAACTCCTCCAATCTCTAACGTTATCTATGTGTACAGTGTCCGCAGAGTGAACTAGATGCGGAAACAGTGAAGAGTATCTTAGCAGAATATAAAATTCACAATGCTGATGTCACACTGCGTAGCGATGCCACTGCTGATGACCTAATTGATGTTGTTGAAGGAAACAGGTACTGTCTTCATTTATAAACACTCCCTTCCACCCCAATTCTACAGTCTGATTCCAATACAAGCCAGCTTACTGCTGCAGTTTTTCCCCATTCCTTGTTTCTTACTCACTCTTGGATGTTTTTTCCTCACAAGGACAGTAGAATGGAGTAATTTTGGATGTTGCTGACATCCCCATATCTCGTGTCCTTCTCTTTGCAGAGTTTATATTCCATGTATCTATGTGCTGAATAAAATTGACCAGATTTCCATTGAAGAACTGGATATCATTTACAAGGTGCCACACTGTGTACCAATCTCTGCTCACCACCGGTGGAATTTTGATGACCTATTGGAAAGAATCTGGGACTACCTGAGGCTGGTGCGAATGTGAGTCCTAGTGACTAATGATGTTCTGTGTAGTTAGGTAAAGTTTTATACCTAAATAGCCTCTTGGAAGCTGTTTCCCCAGCTGGGAGTTGAGTTGCCTTACTGCCTGGTAGGAGGGTGAAAGAATAACTTAATATCAGAGGTCTCCCACCAGTCACAATTTTTCAAGATGTGACTTAGGATGTTGTGGAAACAAGACTCTGTTGTGGAGATACTGCTGTGTTAAAAGAATATTGGGGGTGGAGAAGGAGGTGCTGGGGTTTGTTGTTGGTTGATTGGTCATTCTGTATTGCAGCTACACCAAACCTAAAGGACAGTTACCAGACTACACTTCTCCTGTGGTGCTTCCTGACTCCAGGACCACAGTGGAGGATTTTTGTATGAAAATTCACAAAAATCTCATTAAAGAATTTAAATAGTAAGTATTTTCTGCAGAAGGTTATTACTATATACTAGAAACTCAATAACACCTTAAATTCCCCTGCATCCTCTTTCCAATGGTGTATATTGTGGCCCAAGTTGTTATTTTCCCCGGTATATTTCTAACTTGGAGGAATTGTAGGAGTTGAAGTTCCAGCCTGGATACAAAACAGTTCTGTTCCAATCTTCTGTCTGTACAAATGACTATTTTTCATTACTTAATAGTAGCTGTGAATTAATTTGCTTTCTGCTTTTCTTGTGTACTTCTATTTTGTAGTTGAGACACAGATTGCTTGAGCAGGTACTTGTGTGTGGTGGGGACAGAAAGCTATGTGTTTATAAAGCTACCTTTTGTACATACAGAATACCATCTGCTTGTTGCTGTAAGCAGGGTGCTATATTGTACTTGCATGTCTTGTAAGCTGTTTTTATTAATTTTTCCTTTAGCGCGCTGGTCTGGGGATCATCTGTTAAACACAATCCGCAAAAAGTTGGCAAAGATCACACGCTTGAGGATGAAGATGTCATTCAGATTGTGAAGAAATAAAATTGTTCTTGCTGACTTGCTTGATGGCTGATGTTTGTCAATGTGATTTTCTTTCCTTAGCTGTGAGTGCTGAAGATGAGTCCTTTATTGAGAAAATTACTTTGATAGTTGCTTGCTTTCTTATGATGGAGGCATGTTTCATTACTGTAAGATAGTATCATAAGCCTGACAAAACTCTGGAAAGTTTCTCTTTTATGGGGACATGAGGTGAAAGTATTGGGTGCTTGCATGTTTCACAAGGGTAAAGAAGAAGGAAATAAGAGAAAGTAATTCTTTTTCATTTCAGTGCTGAGTTAAATATAAGCCCTCCTTTCAGAGTAAGAAGACCTGGTTCTACTAGTTTTCAGAACAAATGTTTAAATATTTAAGGCTTGAGGCTGTGCAGCTCTGGTTAATAACTAATTCCTTAGTGTTGCCTGGAGCTTAATGCTGCAGCTCAGTGATAACAGGAGATTGAGGGATGCTACCTCATACTCGCTCATTAAATATTATGCCATGTGGCAGGGACAAACCTACACTTCAGTTTCTTTTGTCAGTTTGAGTTTACTTTTCTAGGTATTCTTCAGTGATCACTTGCTACCTGAGCAGCATTTAACAGGATGAGCTTTGTCTTTAGTTTTTGAGAGGATGGGGTTAAATGGGTAACTTTGGATTATGTGATACAAGGCTTCTCTTGTTTCTCCTTTCAACTAAATTCTGCAATTTGACCCATTACCAATTTTAACATTAAGATCTAAAGCACGAATAGTGCAGAAGTGATAGTAGCAATGTGTAGTCCTCCTGAATGTAACTAAATGACAGAAGATAGGTAGGGAAAATTCTGTATACCTTACTGAAGCACTGTATCAAATCTACCACAACAACAAAAAAAAAAAAATAAAAAAAAACCTATTTAAGTGCATTTTTAATAAAACTTTTATAGCATAACTACTCCCATTTTTAAGTAAGCTATCTTGCTAAATAAGCCTCCATTTGAGAGCTTGGCATTGGAAAAGGTTCATGAAAGAGCAACAAAAATAATTAGGGGTTTGGAACAGGTCCCCTATGAAGAGAGAATAAAAAGACTGGGACTCCTCAGTGTAGGAGACTAAGGGAGCATAATAGAAATCTACACAGTAATTCCTCATTTAACATGTGCCTGCTTAACACTTTTTTGATAGCATGATTTTTTTTTTTAGGGAATATTTTTTGAATTACATGACTGTCCCCAGAATAACACGATTTCCCCAGCTGGCCCATTGCTGGCAGCTGTGTGGGGCTTCCCCCACCTCCCTGCAAAGCGGTGGAGGGTTTGCTCCTCGCCGCACCATTCCCTGGTGATTCCCCCCTCACCAGATGCAGTGTGGGTCCCTGCAGACCCATGTTAGGGGCATACTCCCAACCCAATCCTCCCCTCTCATCCCATTCCCTTCCCCAGAGCCAAACACCTCCACTCCCTGCTGTAACCCAGTCCCGTTTGACCCCCAACCTTGTGTCCCTGTCCAACAGACACCACTGCTTGAAATTGATCCTGTATAGCTTAACATGATCATTTTCTAAAACATATCGATAGTGTTAAATGAGGAATTACTGTACAATCATGACTGATATAGAGAAAGGAAAAGTTATTTACTTGTTCCCATAAGAACTAGAGTTCACCAAATTAAGTTAATAGGCTTAAAAACAAAAGGAAGTTTTTCTTTACACAGCAGTGAGCCAACCTGTGGAACTCCTTGCCAGAGGAGGTTGTGAAGACCAGGCCTTTATCTAGTGGGTTTTTTTGGAACCCTGTTAAATTCATGGAGGTGAGGTCCATCAGTACTTATTAGTCAGAATGGGTAGGAATGGTGTCCCCAGTTAGCCTTTTTATCAGGGGCTAGGAATGAATGATAGGAGAGGTATCACTTGATTATCTGTTTCTGCTCATTCTCTCTGGGGCATCTGGTATTGGCCACTGTCAGAAGGCAGGATATGGGGCTAGCTGGACCTTTGGTCTGACTTAGTATGGCTATTCTTATGTACAGGATGACCACCAGGCAGTCAAATGACAGGAAGAAGTTAGTTACTGCATTACATCTTACAAGCTGGGGTTCTGATTTACAGTTAGTGCTGTAGTAAGACAATCTCTTATTGCTGCTATATAAATCCATAGTGTACCCACATCCTGAATACTGTGCACAGATGTCACTTCATCTAAAATAAGATCTTAGAAGTGGAAGAAGTTTAGAAAAAGGGTAACAAATTAAGGGTATGGAATGGCTACCATGAGAGATTAATAAGACGGGCTTTTCAGCTTGAGAAAGGAGATAACTAAGGGGAGAGAATGATAGACGTCTATAGAGTAACCGATGTGGAGAAAGTGAATAAAGAGGTAGATGAGGCTTTTTTTAAACAACTAATAAAATCGTCCAAAGCATAAGATTTGGTGGTGATGGACTTCAACTATCCAAACTAACAGCACGGCACACACTATCCAATAAGCTCTTGAACTGCATTGAAGACAACTTTTTATTTAAGAAGGTTGAAAAAGCTACTGTGGGGGAAGCTGTTCTAGATTTGATTTTAACAAATAGGAATTGATTGAGAATTTGAAAGTAGAAAGCATCTTGGGTAAAAGTGATCATGAAATCATAGAGTTCATGATTCTAAGGAATGGTAGAAGGGAGAACAGCAAAATAGAGACAATGGTTTTCAGAAAGGCAGATTTTGGTAAGCTCAGAGAACCTGTAGGTAAGGTCCCACCCATGGGGGGGGGGGGGAGAACAACTGAAGAGAGTTGGCAGTTTTCCAAAGGAATATTAAGGGCCTGAAAGCAAGCTATTCCACTGTGTAGTATAGAAAGTATGGCAAAAGACCACCGTGGCTTAACCAGGTGATCTAAAAATCCAAAAAAGTAATGAAAAGTGGAAAGTAGGATAAATTATAAAGGATGAATATAAGCAAACAATACTGGTCTTCAGGGGCAAGATTAGAAAGGCAAAGACAAATGAGCTCAAACTAGCTACAGACAAAAGGAAACAAGATGACATTCTATAAATATTAGAAGTCAGAGGAAGACCAAGGACAGGGTAGGCCCCTTGCTGAGTGAGAAACAGTAACAGGAAACTTGGAAATGGTAGAGATGCTTAATGACTTCTTTGTTTTGGTCTTCACCAAGAAGTCTGATGTAGGAATGCCTAACAGTGAATGCTAGTGAGAATAGGGTAGTTTTAGAAGACAAAGTTAAAAATGACGTAGAAAAGTTAGATGTCTGCAAGTCGCCAGGGCCTAATGAAATGCATTCTAGAATACTCAAGCTGATAACTAAAGGCTCAGATACCTCCTCTATCATCTTTGAAATATCATGGAAGATGAGAGATTCCAGAGACTGGAAAAGGGCAAATATAGTGCCCAGATATAAAAGGGAAATAACCCAGGAAATGAGAGACCAGTCAGTTTAACTTCTGTTCCAGGAAACATAATGGAGCAAGTAATTAAAAAATTCCTCTGCAAATACCTGGAAGATAAGGTGATAGGTAACATCCAGCATGGATTTGTAAACAAATTATGTCAAACCAATCTGATAGCTTTGATCGGATAACCAGTTGTGGGGAGAAGGGAGAAGTTGAGAACGTGGTATACCTAAACTTTAGGTAAGGCATTGGATATGGTCTTGCATGATCTTATCAATAAGCTAGGCCAGCAGTTCTCAAACTTTTTGGGCTCCCGAACCCTTTACATGCATAAAAATTTATGAGGAGCCCCAGTGGTCCACTGATTGTATGTGTTGTGCCTGTCAATGTTTCCAGTTTGTCAACCTCCTGGAGCCCCTGGAGATGTTTTGGAACTAGTTCTGTTCAGTATCTTCATCAACAATTTAAATATTGGCATAGAGAGTATGCTTATGTTGGCAGATGATACCAAGCTGGGAGGGGTGGCAAGTGCTTTGGAGGAGAGGGTCAATTCAAAATGATCTGGACAAACTAGAGAATGGTCTGAGGTAAACAGGATGAAGTTTGAGGACCAATGCAAAGTGCTCCACTTAGGAACAATTGGTTTCACATACACAGAATGGGAAGTGACTGTCTAGGAAGTATTGAAGAAAGGAATCTAGGGGTTATAGTGGACCACAAGCTAAATGTGAGTCAGTCTGATGCCACTGCAAAAAAACCCAAAAAACCCTCAATGCATCCCAGAATCATAACAGGAGTGTTGTAAGCAAGACACAAGTCATTCTTTCATGCTACTCTGTGCTGATTAGGCCTCAATTGTGTCCACTTCTGGGTACCCACATTTCAAGAAATATGGAAAAATTGGAGAAGGTTGAGGAGAGCAATGAGAATGATTAAAGATCTAGAGAATGTGACCTATGAGGGAAGACTGAAAGAATTGGGCTTGTTTAGTTTAGAAAAGAGAAGACAGAGGGGACATGATAGTGGTTTTCAGGCATCTAAAAGCGTCACGAGAAGGGAGAAAGATTGTTCTCCTTGGCCTCTGAGGCTAGGACAAGCAGAAATAGGCTTAAACTGCAGCAAGAGAGGTTTAGGTTGGACATTAGGAAAAAACTTCTTCACTGTCAAGGATGTTAAACACTGGAATAAGTTGCCTACAGATGTTGTGAAATCGCCATCTCTGGAGATATTTAAGAGCAGGTTAGACAGACAGTGATAGTCTAGACAAGGGCTACTCAACTTAAGACACTTTTGGGCCACAATGATAATCACAGCACATGCTGAGGGCTGCAACTTAAGTGTTGTTGCATACACATGCAACTAGCTTCTTTCACAGACAGGCATGAATACAAAGATTAAAGGAAAGACTACACAACTGTCAGTTCTGCAGATATTAATAAAAGGCAATATTCACCCTATTTCTACCCATAAGACAGCACTTTAATGAGCAATGACAGTTCAGGAATTTTAACTACTAGAAATGAACAACAGAAGACCATTATATTGACTACTTTTGTTTTGGCTCCCACCTATGGGCAGCTCGTTGAGCCCTGCATAAACCCAAATTGCCTCTCAGGCTGCAAACAGATGTACTGTGGGCCACATGCAACCTATGTATTGAGTAGCCCTGATCTAGATGGTTTTGGGTCCTGCTATGAGAGCAGGACTCCATGACCTCTTGAGCTCCCTTCCAGTTTTAGTGTTTTATGCTATTTACACACTGAACAAAATGAAGTATCAGCTTTATGGGAAAGATACTTCACATAGTGCATAGTCAACCTGTGAAATGCCTTGTCCAAGGATGTTGTGAAGTCCAAGACAAAAAAGCTAAAGTTATGGATAAGTGGCTATTAGCCAGGATGGGTGGGGATGGTGTTCCCCAACCTCTGACAGAAGCTGGCAATGGATTGGATTACTTAATTGCCTGTTCATCATTCCTCTGGGGCCCTGGTATTGGATACCATTGGAAGACAGGATACTTGTTTAGATGGACCTTTGGTCACACCCAGTATGACTATTCATGCCTACAGAATTACTGTTTTAAAAACCACTTTTGCTTAAGTGTCTAAGGAATAGTAGGGTAAGCTGCAGCAAGTCACAGCAACAGATCAGACCGACTGTCATATTCAAAGGAAAGATCTTTAAGAGCAGTTGAGACAGACAGCTGATAGAAGTGACTTTATTTACAAAATGGGAAGGGTCAATTATGAAAATTTCTACAAAGATGAACTGTGATGTTACATAATATACAAACGTCAAAACATTAACAACCAGTGTGAGATTAAATACCGGTGATCCCAATTGATCCACAGTAGGTGCCCAGCTGCTATTTCTACACAAGAAGTCTGATCTGAAATACTATAGCTTGCTGGTAATTGTGTATAGTACAGTGAATGATTCTGTTGCTAGCTTTCATTCAATGAGATTAGGGAAGAACAAATCCTGGTGCAAATACGGAATTCACCTTTTTTAAAAAGTATATCTATGGTACTAGACTTCAAGTGAGAAAGTGCATGACAGTACACACTAGCTGTTAGGAAAATAAAGCAGTCTTAAAAAAAAGACTTAAATACATAAATAGGCTCACAGAACATCCTCACCCCTCAGAACTAAAGAAAAATCCAAAGCCAAATTTCACAGTAACTGTCAACAAATGCATACTAGATTGGGAAAAATCCCCTTCAAAAATGCAACTGGAGATAACGTCAGTAACTGGTTTTAGGGGCTATGGTTAATATAAAAATTGAGGGTTCTCGGAAGGGTCAGAATTTAAAGGGTCAATTGATTGACTTTGAAAGATTCAAAAGTGTAAACTAAAACAATAGTGCAGCTAAACAAAGACCAGAGCTAACTCTGTGAGCACTATGATAACCTGCACAGGATGCATCTACCGTGACTGAAAATAGAGTTACATGTAGAGTCTGACTGCCAGCTGAAGCCAACATTTGATTAGTGCTACAAGTCTCACTTTTGAAGCATTTTCAAGAAATTAAACTTTTCCTGCCTTCCTCCTCCATTCCTCAAGGAATCAGATGTACCAGGAGCAAGTTGTGGGCTTTGACTTCAAACTTTAGCTACACTGAATCTGCACATTACATAAAACAAGGAGAAATATGCTCTGAGGGACAAAGGTGAAAGAAATAGCAAGAGGAAAAAAAAATCAGCTTTATCTTGTTCACTCACACACTTGGTAATTGCAACTTTAATCAAACAAAAAATCCCACATGTACAATGGAAAGATTCATAGGCACAACAAAAGCTCAACTTATCAGCTAATCTTATATACAGCTGTATAGGTTCAAAAAAGCTATCCTAGATATATACAAAAGATTGTTTATACACAAGTCTGTACACAAGGATCTATACATTTAGTTTTCTGCAGGAGGAATCCTTAGCTACTCCCTCTACACAAAAGGATATCAACACTTCATTCACATATTTTACAAAAAACAAAAAATAGACATTTCCAGGATTTAATTGGTTTTGTATTGCATCCAAATGTCTTCAGGCTTCATGGTTCAAGCCATAAGGATCCTTTAGTCTTGACCCAGACATTGAGAACAGGACAGGTGCAATGTGCTTTAGTCTCTTGAAAAGAAGAAGTTCTACACAGAGTGCTAAAAATAAAAGCCTCAAAACAAACAGGTGAAGCACAATGTATACTATCAGGACTCTTTTTCCAGTCTAAAGAAACAGCTACCCATCCTCCTAGAGGTTACTGTTCACTGCCGATACTCCAGTTCATCTACACTGATGACTTTGGATGGCATGGAAGGAAGGGGCTGTTGCAAAACATCTGAGCCAAACCATTTTGCAAGGCCAATAGGCGAACCACTTCTCTGGCTGGCACGATGGTCAAGCTGTGAGGGTACATGAGGCAGTCCAGTCAGAGAAGACATGTTCTGAGGGGTGGTTTGCAGACCAACAGCAGGTCCTTGTGCTCCAGAGGCCTGAGAGTGGAGAACTATTAGAGACAGGAAGAGTGTTAAAGCCAGGAAACCCCTTTTTTTGTCCTAAGAGGAGTTCTAAATGCATAACCAATATGGAAAATGGATGAAGCAAATGCGCATTACTATGGGGTTCAGTGTTTCTAGACTAACCACACTGAGTCAATAAATGCTGTTGTACATTGACTACAGGGAACCATATCCACCTCATCTAAAAGACTGAGATTAAGCCACTCATGATCATGGCTCGCCTGTGGCGAGTAGATTGTAACCTGGAAGAGCCAGGTTCCAGTGATCTGCACATGTGCCAATCCCTAGACAGCGTGGCTGGCGAGCGGGGCTTGCTACGTTTTGGTGAGCCCTGATCATGATGATTGAAAGATTAACAGTTGTGGGTTACCAGAGGGCCCCCTCCCCGATAAAGGAAAAAGGTAATGAGACCGCTCAATCAGGAGGCTGAAGCGTGGACTGTGCCACAGGAGGCATAAAACCCACTCCCATCAGCAGACGGCAAAGGCAAAAGTCACCCCATGATAGAGGGTGAATAATCATGCTTCAATTCAGCAGAAAGGAAGGTTCATTCAAAGCTATCTACATTCTCCCCTGAAGCCTAGGTCTCATGGAGGAGTTTCCTCGTTTTGAAAGTGGTCACTATAGCATAACTAAATGAAGGCACTTGCCATGTTCATTAGTTGAAAATGGGACTAGTCAGGGAAGCCAACAGCCTCTGTGGGCCCTGGCCAAGTGCTGTGCACATTCATGCACCTCCCCTCCCCCCACTGGCCCTGCCCATTCTGGGAGCACAAAGGCAGCCAGCCCTTGCTTGGAATATCATCACTGCCTTCCCCTTGGTGCTGCCTAGAGCCTGTGGCCCAGCACTCTGGCAGTGATTTAAAGGGCCTAAGGTTCTGACAATCACAGCTGGTCCCTGGGGCAATTATCCCCTTTGCTCCCCCTGCCCTCCCCATCAGCAAGCCTGGGACCAGTAAAGGAGTACTCATGGTACAGGTTAGTCTGTTCTTGAAGGCCATAATTATACTGGCTTCTATTTAACCTACCTGATCGTGGTAATTGTTGCATCATTGCCAGCTGCAGGGGTGTTGCTGCTGGTAATGGATAAAAAGGCTGGCCAAAGATGGGAGTAGGTATTCCCTGTAAATGAGACAAGTCCATCCCTGGAGGAATCATACCTATTTGATTAGACAAAGTTGGGGGAAGAGTCATTAAAGGAGGAGCACAGAACTTAAGGCCCAGAGTCCAGACGTGGCCTCCAGCTTGCCTGGACTGGTGTGTTGGGCTCTACCCCAGCATTAGGGAGCCCACACTGCACCAGACTTGTGTGTGTGTGGGGGGGGCAGTATCTCTCCTCAGAGGACATGCCAATGAGGGGGCTGTGTCACTTGTGAGGCCACCATGACTTTTGGTGAGTCAATGGACCCCTCCCCACCCCAAAAGTTGCCCATCCCTGTATTGAAGAGTTAGAAATATAAACAAGGATCTTTATTTGTAAGGCACACTTGTTTAGCAACTGCTGGTTTGAGAGATTGTCAGTCTTCTGAAAGGAATCTGTAATAGGGAAAATAACCTAGTTGTGGCAACCATCACATGTCTTAGTGCTTCTTATGAGGCTATATATAGTGTTTTGAAATATCACCTAGTAGTTATGATACAAATAAGAGGATTACCTGCTTGTAGCAGAGGAAGATTTTGTGGGTGTACTGTCTTTGCCAGCATCCTCTGGACCAGTCCTGGATGCAGTTCATGACCAGGTCGTACAACTGGTACATGGGAAACAAGGGGTACCTGGTTAACAGGACGGAAGAAAGGAGCCCCTGGTACAGGGGAGGCTGTTGTAGGAGTCTTTCTACCAGTTGGAGTCTTTCTACCAGTCGATTTAGGCCTGTAGTCTTGTTCTTTGGTGCAACGGTTTGGTTGAGAAAGCGGTGTAGAACATGCAGAGCGTTGCAATGCAGATCGTCTGGTACCTATAGTAGGAGAAGTATCTTGATCTGCATTTTTCACCAAGCTAGCTGATAGTAAGTTATCTGTAGTCAAATAGAAATATGACCATTAAACCTGATTTCTAGTTGTACAATGTATGACAGGCAGAAGTGTCTTTTAAAGCTAGGTATGGTACTTGCAGGACTTAGTCTGGAATATGTACAAAATTCTTATTAGTCAGATGTCTGAGCACTTCCCTCAGATTTTTCCACCACTGTTTGAGCAATGAAAGGAAAGTCTGTATTTGTGAGTTAAAGAATCCACTGTTATTAAAAAAAGTTGAAACTTTGATAAAGTAAAACAGAATATTGGCTAAAAAAAAAAAAAATCTAGCTTAGTACAGTGATATTCCTCAAACCCAGGTTTCAGAGCTATGAACCTACAACTGTGACCTTTTAGCTCCTTTACTGCTAGAGGAGCATGCTTGGAAATCCAGTTGACTAGTTACAATTTAAAAATAGTTAGATTTGATAGACTGACAGCTGGCTTGTCTGTAAATTTGTATTCTTGAGGATAGACATCTAGTCTTACAACTACTAGAATTAAAGTCATGTGCAAATTAAGAGGCACTTCTTACTTTCTAGCACCAAATCCTTAGCCTTTTAGAGGCTGAAGGCACCCACAACCACACTGAATACAGGTTGCACTTCCCTAATTCTGGACTCTGGTCCAACAGATCATGGATGTTCCCCACCTAGGAGGGCAGGCACGGAAGGGCAGCAGATCGGCAGCCAGTGGCCAAGGAGGTCCCCGGTCTGGCAAATCCCCTCACTGGGTGCCAGCTCAGGGAGGTCTGAAATGCATTTCCGGACTTGGGAGATAAAAGAATGCGCAGGATTATCAGTGTCCCCTCCCCACCCCAAAGAGGAAAAACATTAGGCAGAGGCAAGACAAGCTTATTATCTAATCCAAATTCCATATAGCAGCGGAAAGAGAAGTGGTTACATAGGTTAGTCCTGAACATCCTGGTAACTAAAGGCCATGTCAATTGAGATGCTATGTTCACTTGTTCAAAGGTGGAGTGAACATTTTGCTTTCCAGACCTCCCACAGAGCAGTCTACTCCTTCAATGCAGCAACCTCTCATGTCAGTTTTAAGGTAGTGATTCAAGGATCACTTTGGACTTGATCATAATTCTGTAGTAAGGTTATTTAATCAGTCTATGGGCTAACCATTTAAGAAAGAGGTATGGTAAGGCTATTTACATGTAGTCACATTCTAAAGTGTGATGTGTAAATGTTTACCTAGTGTGACAAAGCTCCTTAACCCGAGTACTGTACTTTCAAGCAGACTGCTTGCCTTAGAGGTTCACAACTGCCCTTACTTTAGACACTCTAGGGAACCAGCTTGCCATTTGTTGAGCCACTTATTACTGTCCAGCATGGGGAAGGGACTGGGAGGGAGGAAGGAGAGATTGAACTATGTAGTCTGGCTCCACGTGATGGGGCAGAAAGACCCTTCTACCAAGGATTAGTCCTTCTCTGGTGCTGAACTGGGGAGTTGGTATTGGAGGAAATACAGGTCTGCCCTCTACACTGAGTTCCAGTACAAGGACCCCACAATTAAAGGCAACTAACATGTCCAATAGCAGCTGTGTGGCAGCTATGATCCCCTGAGTTACTTCACCATAGTCCTCCCCAGCACCTTCCTTATATCTGCTTGCACTTCCTAGACTCCCCATAGCACTCTCCTCAGCTCTTTAAGCATCTCAACTAGTTCATTAGCCCTAGGTGTTCTGATTAGACAGACTCATTTGACTATGGAAGCCTAATTGGTTCTAAGTGTTTTAGTTGGTTTGATTGCCCTAATGGATTCTGGCAAGTCCTGCTGGATCTGAATTAGCCTTTAATTTACTCTGGGGAAAAAGGATATTTAATTTAGGCCTAACACTTTCCTCCTCTCCCCTATAGACTAACTGAAGTGTAGGAGCATAAGCTTTCGTGGGCAAAGACCCACTTCCCCCTTTGACATGCATCTGACGAAGTGGGTCTTTGCCCATGAACATCTGATGAAGTGGGTCTTTGCCCACGAAAGCTTATGCTCCTACACTTCAGTTAGTCTATAAGGTGCCACAGGACTCCTCGTCGCTTTTGCAGATTCAGACTAACACGGCTACCCCTCTGATACTTGACTCCTCTCCCATGTAATTCTCCAGCCTGACCCTGTTTCACTAGAAATTCTATTTGGCTCTTGCTGCCATTAATTTTCACCCCTCAATCTTCTGCTGCATTTGAAGCTGGTTCTACAACCATACACATCTTACAAGGGGTCTGAAAACAATCTGCTACTGTATATCACTGTGGAAGTGAGTGCTATCTTTTGCCATGCTATATTTAGTTTGGAAGTGACTCAGTAGAGAAAAGCTACTATTTTTGTGACTGGTCAGATAGTTGCAGAATCTTCACAAAATAGGTTTCTCAGTTTGTTTACTCTGTCAGGCTATTTTTTAAGCTAACCAATTGCTATTTTAACTTCTGGCCATCTTTCCAAGAAAAGGTGATAATCTGCTGAAAGTCTCAACTGGGGAAGCAGCCACTTAAGAGCAATCAAGAATTTGAGTTTGTACTCACACCAAGAATTCTCCTCAAATAAAGGGAGTGCTGTTAACATCTAACATGGTAAAATAGACATTCCTATTGGACCAACCTACCCTTCTCTAATTGTAGTGTTGTAGAGGCTAAAGAACTCAGTTTACATGCCTAAGACACCTGCCACATTTAGATTTTCAAGTGATCTTGAGTAGCTATTCTGTTGCTTTTGGATACAGTTACACAATGGTGTCTAAAACAACCTGATCTAAAGGAAAAGTGAATTCCAAGCTCACAGTAGCAGCAGAATTTTGCTCTGGAAGAAGCTACCTTCCTAGTAAGCGTTATAGGAAGTTTTTGAAATACATCTTAATAAGACTGTCATGGAGATTAGGAATGTCTTACATTCAAATCTGTCCCTCTAACGTAGTACTAAGGAGTAGGAATCCATAAAGCTAGAATCAAAGCTGTGGGTTGGTGATTTTTTCTTCACGAACAAAGCCATTATAGTACCTTCATTTGTCCCTCGACCTTCATTTTTACCATCACTGCCTTTCGTTTTCCCAGACACAGGCTCCTCTTTATTTTTTTCTTTGCTTTCATACATCTTACGAATCACTGAGGTAGGTGTGAAGGAAGGAGAGAGCTGTGAAAAGAATAACTGATAGTGAGTCAAGAATACCAAGAACAGTTAGCATAAGGTATTAAGCATTATATGAAGTTTGCAACTATATCGGTATTTTTGCAACCCTGCACAAGATCATACTGCATCTTAGAAGCAGGTGATCTCTAGTAATTATTAGTATATTACATTCAAATACATGTTTCAACTATTAGACATGAAGGAAACTCAATACCAAGATTTTTTGTTCATCTCCACTATTCCTGGCTTATTTCCTGCTTCCTTACAAATCTCATTTTACCTAGGGTTTGCAGAAGTGCATGAGTTTACTTCATAAAAGAGCCCAAAGATTACTACAACCTATGCTCACCTAAGGATTTGCCAGCACTTGCAAGGCAACTGAGATTAAATTAACAACTTAACATAGTATTTGTTCCTAATAACTCCATTTGGTGGCAGGATCCTATGATGGTTTACTTCAAATCAACCAAAGTAGACAGGCCCTTAGATTCTCAAAAACAAACTTCCCTTTCAAAAGTTACTCAACATTTGTTGATCCTTAATTAGGTTTTCAGGTTAATGGAAGAGGCAGGGGACATTTTTCGAAGTTTAAGGCGTAATCCAAATTCGTTCCACTTTAACCTCATGTCTAAATGACCATTCTGTACATGGCTATTCTGACATGAGAACCACAGTATTCAAGCTGCATTAATAACCACTACCTTAAATTGTTTACAACTACAGGCTTCAAGAATGGAAATTACTATGCAGCTTTAAAGTTAACCCTCTCTTCGTATTAAGGAAACAGTACATTAGCATTGATGTAAGTACTTACCATGCTAGTGATGGATACAGTAGGTGTTGGAGAAGATGCATTCCTTCTGTGGCCTGGTACAGGAGACCTAGTCATTCGACGCTGCCTATAAACAGACATGAATGTTAAGAGACTAAGGCAGCATTAGTGTCTTGGTAATCCTGCATTTCACTTTTGAAGTGAAAAAAGGTACAGTTTAGGACAGGGCTACTCAACCTTGGAAGCGCTGGGAGCCACAATGATACTCACAGCACATGCCAAAGGCCACAACTTAAGTGTGGTTGTATATACACATGCAAATATATATGCAAATAGCTTCTTTGACACTTACGGGCATGAATACAAAGATTAAGACTATACAACAGACTTCATTTAAGTCAGTTCTGCTGATATGAATTTTAAAAAAAGCAATATTTACCCTGTTTCCACCCATATGACAGCACTCTGAATGAGAAGAATTTAACTGCTAAAATGCATATCAACAGAAGACCGTTATATTGGCTCCAATGGTGAGTATGTTCCTAGTGAAGGCCATGTTCAAAAGATCCCACCCACAGGCCCCATGTTGAGCCCCATTTGGACCCAAACCACACTGCAGGCCACATGTGGCCAGTAGGCCACATGTTGAGTAGCCTTGGTTTAGGATATACCTAGGCAATCACTCCTTTTATTTTGATGCAGTATTTCCAAAGTTTACCCTTTAGAGACCACACTGCAATTTAAATACCAATCATAGTATCCGGTTTCACAGTGAATTAACTAGTTATTGTGCTGTTCAAGAAAGAAAAACCTGTGGAGCTGATTTGTCTGGTCACAATTTTTACTTTTGAATCTACACTCCTCCTTCCACCACAATTTTCTATCAAGTAGTTTTTGTGTTTAATGTAAGATAATCAGTTATTAGCTAGAGTATAACCTAAAGTTTCATGGATCTTCAGGTGGATTCTTAGGTTTTATTCTACAAGTGCTAATTAGAGGAAAGCTCTCATCTTGAGAACTTTTGCTTAACAAAGAGTATTTAACAATACACTTGGGTCCATGAAAGCCAATCAAGATGCTAGACAACTAGCCTTTAAGGCTAACACTGCTGTGACACCGTTACTATATAACTTCTTAACTCATCTCCGAAGTGGATGGCCAGTTATCTGCATTAATAGAGGTTTCATGCTGTTGTCTGAACTTTATTGGTTAGGAAGCTAGTTTTAAGACCAACTTTATTTATTTTGGCCTGTGGCTATACTTATACTTGGTACAGCTACAAGAACAAAAGCATTCTACATGTAAAAATAGAATAAGCTCAGATTTCTCATATGTTTAGTAAGACAGTTCTCTATTTTCTAAGAACACATTAATATCCTGTACCTCATCTTCAATAAGGCAAGAAAAAGTGCTTTGGAACCCAAGCACAAAATGCCTGAGTTCTTGAAAATGTTAATGAACTATGGACTCCTGTGTCCTCTTCCTTATCAATGAGGAGGTGAAATGCTTGACTGGAAAACACTTAATAGTCCATGCAACTTTCTAGAACCTGACCTGTTCCTGAAGCCATCTCTGCTTTTGTCCATTTGTGACCTGACAAAACCTGTTTGGTAGAAGTTCGCAGCCTGGATGGCTAAGTCATGTGGTAGAGCTAATTCCTCTAAGGCAGCTTGCTGCATCTCCAGGGGATGCATCTGAAGTCAAAAGGAAACAGCATTAGAATCTGACAAACCCTTTTTTAAAAATCCCAGATCTTGCACTATTCCATGAAGGGAAATACATGGGAGATTTGCCTGGGAGTGACAGGAGGGCCAGTAAGTGCCCCACCTCCCCATGCTCAGACCCTTCACCCCCACCAGCCTCCCTTTTGCCCACCCTCAGCCCCCTCCTGTACCCTACCTCCCAGGCAGGCCCTCCCCTTAATACACTCTCCTGCACCCATTTTGTCGTCATGGGGGCTGGCAGGTGGTCTGTGGAAAAGTCTGTGCTGAGAGGGGTGGGCTGTGAGCCAAAAAGTTTGAAAACCACTGTCCTAAAGCCATTTTAGAATGATCCCACTTGGCACAGCAACCATGTTCTAGGACTGGAAGTGATGGCAACATGTATCCTGAGGATGCAAGGCTGAAGCACATCTCCCCCAGGAGAGTGTAAGACTGATGTGTTAATTAGTTTTGATGAAGAATGCTATTCATTTCAATCAACTGAAGTAGCATCTTCATGTATCAAATGAGAAAGATTAGCATCCTACCAGTCCAGCCCCTTACATTCCCTGGTCATGAAAGAAATTGGTAAAAAATGGCTTAAATGTTTAATATTCAGAAATCACTGAATCTAACCTGTGCAGCAACTGGGCTCATTGACTTCAGCATCCCCTGAAACGGATCATTGATCAGTTGCTGAGCATTTCGTTCAAAGCCTACAAAATGACAACATCTACAAGTTTAGAACAGGCATTTATCCTTCATTGACTTCAGTCCCTCCCAGTTACTTTCCTTGATTCAAAAGGTGGCAACCCTTTTGAAGTGCTTCAATACCACCCTAGCTTTTACAGATCTGTGCAAGCAAGGAATCAAGCTATCCTATCGCTTTGCAATACTAAGTGCCTTCCAGTGCCAGAGAAGAGATTTTCTTGTTCACAGCACTCTGGTCTACAGTATCAAGTTAAAAAAAAAAAATCTGTCTCCTCTTCCCTTTAAGTAGTTCTGCATGCTAGAAACAGTATTGCTTACCAATTGGTGAGGGGATCCGATGATGGAGGTAGTCTGCAGAAGCAGCCCGAGTTGGGAACACCTGTGACGCTGGAGGGGAAAGAGCTCTTTGGCTCAAAGGTGATGCAGGTTCCAAACCACCTATCAAGCCACCAAGAATATTTGTTGATGATCTGGCACTGGATGAACAAAGAAGCTCCTTGGAAGAAAGAGTAACAAATAGCTGTCAAATATTAACTATATTACATAGTTTTCATACAATCAGCAGATAGTAGTACATGTGCAAGTGACTACACATACTACACAGCTTGACTGAGGCTTAGTGTACAAACTTAGTTTGATGTCTTACCTAGTCTTTCCCTTTAAGAGAAAGGATCACTATTTTTACTGTTTTCCCCTTCATATGAGAGTTCTATCGTATAGGGAGGGTGAAGTTTTATTGCAATACTCTGACAGTTGTCTGTCACTATTTCTGACCAGCTAGTTCTCCATCTTGTTAGTGATTTAGTTATTTCATTTCTCCTATACACTTTCAATTTTTATCTGGTAGAAATAAATGACTGTTGAATAACCCCACTGCAATCCACAATGCATGAGTAAAAAAAAAAATCTCATTTTGGAGATTATGATTGAAATGTTGCTTTACTCTTCTCTGTATGACAAGGTGATAAGTCTCAAAAACAAAATACCTGCAAAATGTTCTTTGGGAGACACTGGCCTGGGATCTCAGGAGGAGACATCAAGTGGCTTTCAAGGCTTTGCTAAGTAGTAATAAAACAGTTTATTTCTCACATCTGCATGTAATAGTCAAATCTTTACAAACTACAACAGAGGCTCAGAACCCAGGCCATTCCCATAACCTAGGGGAGATACGAGCATCATGACATCTTGTAGTGTATGTACTTTATCCCTCTGATACACTGAAATTGTAATGTAATGAAGTTGTCTGATCCTTCCAGCCAACCCAGAAGGGCCCCAGTTAAGACAGGACCCCAGACCTACAATCAACTAGATTTTCTGATCTGCATCTGAGTATTCCGTATAGGCTTTGCGATCTCCTAAAACAGCAAAGGCAACTAAAATAGTCAACTACTTATAAATTATAGTTGCCATAAAGATAGGATATTGTGAGTAACTGGGGAATCAAGCCGCCATAGAGAAGGAGAGATCTGAGCTAGAATATTTGAGATCATTTCTGATGCACAAAATTGACTCTTGATGCTTGTATGGTAGTGCATGGGGATGTAAAAAAAAAAAAATCAAGTAATTAAGTTAAGATGCCCTCCATATCTTGCTATAAAAGTCTTCTCACCTAGTTTGCTTCTGATCAAATGCCATGTCCAATCAGTAGCCCAACAAAACAAATTATGAAGCAGCAAAAATAGTTTTATCCTCTCATCCCTCTTTCCAAATATGTGGGAGTGACAGTTCCTTTGACATTGTTAAGTTAAACAAAAATTGTTTAGATACAGTTTGTCTAGTTACAGACTATACAAGATTATATTCCTTGCTAACTGTCAGCATTGGATAATCAAAGAGTTTAATGAACTGGTATGTGGAAGAGCTCTCCTTTCTCTACATTTACCATTCACATAGTCCACATTCTGTGCAATCCTTTGTCTCAGAGTTCCAGGAGAGAGACCAGTACTGATTAAGAGCACTTTCATATCTTAATGAGAGGAAAGTTTTTTGCACTTGTAGAAACTGTTTATAGTTCCAAAACTTTAGCGATCCACAAGTCAGACACCAAAGCTTCCAGATCTACTACTTTGTGTTTGCCAGTGAGAGGAAAGTGCACTAGACTAGATAACAGCTGAATTTTGTTAAGTCACTGTAGCATGGTTGTGAGAAGTATATCAAAACAGTATTAGTGAATTGTGCATGTCTCACTGCCTTCAAGGTTAACATGTGAGTTTATCATGTTTGGACATTATAATCAAGCTAGACTCAGAGCAGTAATTCTGCTGTACTAAAATCCCACTTAATTTTGCCTTCATATATGCCTCTGCACTCAAAATTAGAGGTTGGACAAGATATAGTATGCAGCAAGGGAGGTTTAGGTTGGACAATAGGAAAAACTTCCTAACAGGGGTGTTACATACTGGAATTAATTGTCTAGGGAAGTTGTGGAATAGAGAAAAAAATTGACTTCCAACCTTTCAGATTCCAGGTGGTTTGCAAGTTAAACTGACTTTACTTGAAGTTAAAAAAGTGTGTATAACACTTACTGGGTAATTGGCCCAGCACTCCTACTAATACAAAACAAGAAACAAAGTAGTATTAGAGTTGTGACATCACTAACATTTGTTGCACATTGCACTTAATCTTTTTAACACCAAAGTGAAGGCAACATAGCTCTTTGTAGAAGATGTGCTGAGATAAGCCTCCCCCCCCACCAAAATGGCTAATTCTCGTGTAGCATGAGATGTGATCTCATCCAGCAGGATCAAAAATTTTTTCTATTAACTTAGACCTGGTCTACACTAGGACCTTAGTCTGAAATAAGCCCCCAAGGTTGATTTTGTAATCAGTGTCCACACTATCAAGCCTGTTATTCCAGAATAAGGGGCCACAGAATTCAAACTCTGTAGTCTTGCTTTTCATGAGGAATAGAGATATTCCTGAACTTGTAAGTTCAAAATCATGTTTGTGGATACTCAAGTGCTGCTAATTTGAACTAATTGGCCTCTAGGAGGCCTCCTGCAGCTCCCTAAGTGCTCCCTGGGGGTGCTGAATTGAGGGAGTGTAGCCACATTGATGAAGTCAGCCTTGGACTACATTTGATTTTTCCTCAGAGAAGATATGGAAGTTCAAATTTATAAGACTGGGTGCCCAGAAGTTGAATTTAGTAAATCTGAAATAATCTCCTAGTGTAGACATGGCCTTATGGATCAGACTCAACTGTCTTAAATCTTCACTAGAGGTCCATTTAAAGCAGACAAGTGCTACATTTCACAAATGCTATTGTAACCATCAGAAGCTGTTAGGCTACAGATGAAACTACCAACTACTAAACAAGAAAACACACACACCCCTCTACTCAGTGGCCCCCTACTGGAAGTAGCATTACCAACATCACTCTCATGGTCAGTACATTTACCATCACCCCATCATATTCAACTGACAGCTGATAATGAAATTGGGAGTGTCATATTGGGGAATGTCCAGTTCACTCCCAGTGTGTGTCATGGATCCATTTATACTTTAGTAGTCTCAAGAATGTGTTACTTACATTGAGCTTGTGTTGTGAAGGTAGAGTTCCACTTGCCTTCATACTGCTGACTAGTTTATTAAATGCAGACATATCTCCATCTCTCTGGAGTGGTCTGGAGCCAGCTACATTCAATACCGCCTCCATTTGTTCTGCCATGAATGGAGCAGCAATTTTACCCTCCTGGTCCATTTTCAGGCCTTTTAGCCCTGCTTCTACTTCTTCCACTGAAAGTACAACCCCTGAATGTGCTGAGAAAGGGAGGGGTGAAGACAGTTAAACAAGGTGCTTATTTACAAGCATATGAACAAGTACCTAGAAATGGTGGGGAAATTTAATTTTGCATCATGAATAAGCTAGTTCTGGCTGTAAATTTTGTTTTAAAATCACTGTTTGAGCTACATTGCAATATTCTCATTCAAGTTAATGAACCTGAGCCATAAACAGTTTTAGGCACAAGTCTTTACAAGCATATTCAAATTTTAGATTAAGTTTTTAGCTCTCCTTTACCTTGAGACTTGGAAATTTAGAAAGGGAAGACATTTCCTTCTGCAGTTTTGACAGTACATTCTTAGCAGGAAGTACAGTGAAATAGAATGAATTAAGTTTACAGGAATCTAAGTAATTTAATACTGTTACAAGTATGCACAGATTATAATTTAGCTTATACTTCAGGAAACCAGTCTTCTACAGCCACAGAAGTGATGGCTATTGTTTGAAGAGAACATACATACCTGGATGTCACACTTCAGAAAAAAAGTTATAATTTGATTGGCAGAGATTTTCCCAGTTGGGCTTATGTTTCCCCAAAGGAAACTGAAGCCATTATGGATCATGAAAAGATTTGTAGAAGCACCAACAAAATAAGGAACATGCACCAATAAGCACTGTTTATTATTTTCTCCATATACCAGTACCTGACATCCTTTGATTATGCATGGATATGAAAAACTGACAATATACAAGTATCTTGAAGAATAAGGGAGAAAAAAAAGATAGCCATGTCCAGTGGGTTTCTGTAAGAGGGTGGTCTGCAGAAAGCTAGACTTCCTGGAAATATGGCCATGAAGCAGGGGAGGGACACTATTCTGACATGCACTACAGGGCATGAGAAAAAAGCTGAACACTGGAGGGGAGACTAACCAATAAAGAGATAACATCCCAGAATGTCTGAAGTGCTTGATTAGCATTTTAATCGATGGGGACCCAACATGTCAAGTGTTGTTGACATTAGAGTGAACAGAAGTCTGCTTTGTGATTTGGAAGTCTTTATCTTTGTTCTGTGAAGAATATGTAACATTAAAAGGCTGTTTGGGAAAGAGAGAAGTCTGAGTAGAATTAGAATTTATGTTTCTGAAACCAAAAAGAGGACAGCTTTCCTCCAATGTTCACCATCACAAACTGGATGCTGGACAGAAGTGCTTGCAATACTTGGTTGGATGAATTCCTGTTCCTCAATTTCCATCACTCAAATCAAGCAGCATTTCAAGTTTTGCTCAGCACAGCAATTTAAAGTTTAGAAGGCAATGCACGCTGCTTTCCAATAAGATTGCAAGATTTGGCAAACAGCATATGCCCTTATGTTCAGTTTGTGTAAGCACATGCAACAGTGTCAATTTGCATGCTCATTGGGCATCTGTGTGCATGCACTGAATCTATTTACTAGAATAAATACTGAAAAGGTTACATTGGCTTCAGCAGAACAGAAATACTATGGAAAGAATCAGTTCCCTTCTTCATTACAGAATGGTTTAACATTCTGATAACAGTATTTAATGAGTCCGTTCTAATCCAGGGTTGCATTTCTACATTATTGGAGTTAGTTTTAACAAGGAGAGCTGCTTGTTGATGAGCCATATGTTGGCATGTTGATGAGCCATAGTTCTTTGAAGACTTAAGTGAAATTTTAGATTGTACCCAATATTTCCAGGACAGTTTGACTGGTTTATGGGAAATATTACCAGATGAAAAAGCTACTTTGGGCCCTTGTACAACTTAATGCATGCAAATCTTTCATTAGCCCAATTGGAAAAAAAAAAAGATACTGAGACTTCCAATCACTTTGTGATTGAGCATACAGGCACTTGCAAAAATAATTCTTGTGGTACAAGTTTTGGGAAGAGCTGCATAATTTGAGATTAAATATCAAGTAAATTTAGGATTGATGACATTGTACCACTGTCTAATGTGAAGACCAGTCTAGATGCTAGGAACAATAAAGCTGGAGACACATTTGCACACCAAGATTTGCATAATCTTAATGTATTAGAGTAGCATATGCTGGAGACCATATTCAAGATGAGGATTCAGCTGATATCCTATGATTATGATGGAAAAAGTCAGTGACAATAGCAATATAACTGAGATTCATGGGCCAGTGGGTTTTCTGAAGTGTAAGTAAACTTGTAGTACTTCCTACATCTGAACCTCAGTAATCAAGGGTTGATGTTCTGGAAAACCTCCTGCCTTGATCTGGCATCACAGGAACGCCACAATATCAGAAGAGGCACTTACTGCTCTCTCTAAGCTTCTCCTTGTTGGCTGAAAGACTTGAGAGGAGCGGTTTTAAGTCCACTTTGGCTTTCTGCAGCATCTCGAGGATGTCCACTTTGTTTTCAGAGTGGTCTTCCAATGGAATAGGAGCAAAGTAGTTTCCAGAGTTCTGGCCAGGGGAGAGAATGGCTTGCTCTAGACCTGAAACAGCAAAACCAGGAGCACTGCCACATCAGTTTACCAACTAAATGTCTCAATGAATACACACTGGATAACAAGCTTCAATGAAAACCATGACTAAAGCCCCGTTTGAGATCAGATGGAAAGAGAAGCGATGATACCTTTTGCAAAAGAAACTACAGAGATGTCTACACCAGCTGCTTCCAAAAGGATTGACAGCTAAACTGCAGAATAGTTAATTTATACATCTTTAACAGGTTCTCATTGAAAGAATGGATAGACAAACATTTGGAGACATGAAGCACTTCCCTTTAATCTCTGTAAATATTAGACAATTTTACCTGCCAGATTCTCCAGTTCTTCATGTGGTGTGGATCTCAGGCTGCTAGAATGACTTTCAGAATTACTAGGATTAGAGAACCACCTACTGAACCTACTAGCAGACATTGAACCTTCCTCCAGCACATCCTCTATCATCTGTATCCAGGGGAGGGGAGAAAAGAGAATAAAAACAGTAAGTTTTAAGAAGTCTCAGGAGGAATAAAAAATAGAAGCGTTTATACACAGTAAATCTCTTGCATAGCTTGTAAAATTCTTGCTGCTGACCTGATGTTACTCCCAGAATGTAGGGCTTGGTAGGATTTAAGCTACTTCTCTTGCCTGGAAATTGCACCATATTTATGAGAAACATTATTGGTATAATTATGCATTTCTATCTGTTCAAAATGAAGTCTTTTATATTCTACTAGAAAAACCCCAGTATTGTTTGGGTCCTTAACTCAATTTGGGTTTCAGAAGATAGAAAGAAATAGATGCTTCATTTAATTTTTGCTGTGGGGTAGGGTTGGGGAGGAGTGCATTCAGTATGCAGTGAGGATGGGAGGAGAGGAGGGACTATCCCAGTTCTTACCCCAGCAGCTTGGGGCCACATGAGAAGTGTCTCTCCATGGCTGCTGACAAAGCAGCTGGGACAGGCCAAGGGTGCATGTTAGGGATGTAGAGGGTTACTGTGAGCATTCACCTTACTGGTTCACTGGTGGCCTGGCCCAAGCAGCCCCTTCCACTCCCACAGATGGCCCCCACAGCCCCTTTCACTGCCTAGTGATTTTTTCTATGGTTTTTATGAGAATCAATCCCATTCCAGGCACAGCCAAACCCTGACCTTCCTTTAAGTTAAGAGAAAGCTGTATATACTGAATTTAAAGATGCTAGCGCTTACCATTTAGAAGGAGTTCTTGGACAGACTCACTTGACTACATTACTAGATAATCAGTTTCAGAATAAGCCATTATTGCAAATTCCACTATCAGAACAGACAAATATTTGACTGCCAGAAGTTAAGAGCAAAAGGTAATCATTTAGGAATTAGTCATAAGTACAAAAAAATACCCCATGTGAGTAATTGACACTTGAGTCCATGATTCAATGGCCTATAACCTGAGTGCTCCATAATAAGTTCAATTGAAATGAAGGACTCAAAATACATCTTCTGTTTCAGTAGAACATAGAATCTTTCACTTGGGCTTATTGGAACACTTAGAAATGGTTCTTCAGGAGAGAGAAAGCATATTGACGAGGTCTGGTATGGACACTTACACTGCTCTCTGTGCTGTACCATGCTATCACCTTTAGTAATGTCAAATATTGTTTGCATATGCAGAAACAAGGAAGAGCTATTTTACTCCAATGGAGAGTAGCAGAGTTCATTCATTCTTAGCATTTAGTGACCATCAGCTTAACTGAAGCTTTCTAGAAGCTGAACAACCAAAGAATTCTAATAGTGTCAGTACGAGCCACTGTTAGTTCTACAGTGTCTGTTACAAGTAGTTCAGATGCACCAAACTGTGTCAAGAAATCATTTTAAATGCAAGCTAAAGCACTTCCATTTTGCAAATGAGTTTTCACTCAAGCATGTTGTGACTGATGGAAAATTAGTTCACAAAAAAATCTGCCAGCATCCAAACAGTAAAGTTTATCCTAAGCAAGCTTTACTGTCCCCCAGCCTAGGACTTCATTCACTGTAGAAAATGCTTGTTTCATTGAGTCCAAGATGAGGAAAAAAAACCCAATTTGCCAAGCATGAAGCTAACCATGAGTAAATGGTTTCAAGATGTCATCTGATCATACATGTGAAGTTGAAAAAAAAAAAGCTGGAAGAACCTGAACAATCTATTTTATAGAAAGATGTAATCTGTGTTTCACACAGCTATGTAGAACAGGAAGAGTAATTTTCCCAAATATGCCTACAGATAGGATCACTGTTGATAGTAGGAATAGGATCGCTGTTGATAGTAGGAATAGGTTTTACAGTACAACACTGCTGGCACAAGACTATTCCAGCTGCCCAGAACTAGAATGCTAGTTCTACTGAATATCCACCAGACAATAAAGGTTCTGCCTCTAAATGAAAACAAAATCTGGTCTGAACTTTAGGATGATGCCTATCTGGTGTGTCACTATCTATGGGCTTAAAATGCCAACCCTCATTTAAGATTGATGCACCATTTGAGAACATTTGAAGGTCTTCCCATACTTTATAGTAGAATTCATAGATAAGTCTAATATAAAGTAGAAGTTTAAAGACTTCTGCAGGAGTCTTGCATTTTAGCAATAAAGATGGTTCCTATCACACTAAATATTAAGCCAAGACTCACATGTTCAAACCCCAGTGCTTTCGTTTACACACACACACACACACACACACACACACACACACTTTTAGAATCCTAGGCTTCTAGGTGTCCACTCTGAAGGGGACAAGTTTCTGCTCTCTCCATCCCTTTTCAAGATTTCTGCAACTATAACCTGATTTTAAAAATAGGTCTGCAAACTGGGACTGTAAAACTGTAAATCCTAGAAAAGTAACCCATACTAAAGCTTACCAAAAAAAGAGAGAGAAACAGTTAGGAATTAAAGTTATGCTTCTTTTAACCCCAAAAGTTGTAGTAATCCAAGAAAGTGACCTTAGAAGCAACATCTTAACATTTTAGTAAATGGGCTGTAATGTGTACTTTGACAATCAGGATGAGAAAGTGTTCCAGATCTTGAGCATTAACATTTTAATAGGTCAATATTAAAGAGCCAAAAAAACTTCAACAAAAAAATAAATTTGAGTTCAGAAAAAGACAGTAGATAAAGATGGTCCTTCTGGCCACATGCATGTCACTCACCGAACCCAGCCCTGGAACACTTTTATCCAGGTTAAAGAATTCATTGAAGTCAAACTCTCCTGGTGCTGATTCTTGCAGAACAGCTTCCCTAAGGACTTCATGGTCTGCTGAAGTTTCATGGACAGGGACAGACCGCACTTCATCCACCTCTGCCACTCCACCATTGCACTCCATTCCTTTGGTGGGGAGGGAGAGAAGGGAAAGGGGAAGAAGATGAGATAGTTCATTGCACCTGATTGAAAGATCAAAGATATTTCCAGAGTATCATTTGCTGGTTAAGCCACAGGATTGGTGTTCAGATGTGGCTTTTGTTCCAAACATTAGTCTGGTTAACTGCATGAATTTAACACAATTTATGTTGAAAGCAGCCACCAAGAGCACAAACAGGAACTGAGACTTGTATTTGTACAGAGCTTACTGGACACAAGAATCTCTAGATCTTTGATGTATAGTAAAATCTCATCTACAAACCCTATTTTTAAACCGCTTTTCTGAATTTCCACAAGCTCTTTTCTGCTGTCCTCAAGCCTATCTGCTCCCTCACCCTGCCCACCCCACCAAAAAAAGCCAGATTTTTTTAGCTTGTGGACACTGAGTAAGTCCGGCCTTTTCAGCCCACTGCACCATGTTGAAAGTTACTGCTCCTTCTAGTCTGAATTGAGGTGTTTGTGCAAGAGTTAGGCACCTACTGCTTTCTTCTCTGGATGCATGGACCATTCCTGAAGGGCAATAACTACTTGCTTATAATCTAATATCTGAGATTTATCTGCCTTTGGTTTGGGTCTACATGAGGAGTTTAGGTCAACTTTCTAAGCAATGAGACCACACCAAGCCTGTTTTAGGTGATTTTGGTACTCCTACTTTACAAGAGGTGCAATGAAAATTTGTACTTGCATGGGCAGCTTTAGGGTAGTGCAGATTCAGCACTGTGAAAGGTCAACTTTAGAGGTGCCCTGCAGTTCCCTGATGCGATTGCTCTGGCCAGGACTTTCAACTCTGCTGCTCTTCAGTGCACAGGAAAAGCCCTGGGAAAGTTTGAATTTTGTTTCCTAGCTGCTTGCCATACAGCACACCTGACTATGAATACTCCAGCTCCAGCATTGGGCATGCAGGAGATCCTGGACCTCATTGCTGTGGGGAGAGGAATCAGGTCAGGCAGAACTCCAAAGGAGCAAGATTGGACAGGGCATGGTGGAGAAGGATATGCCTAGAATGCCCAGCAGTGTGTTGTGAAAATAAAGGTTCAGGCAGGCATACCAGAAAACGAAGGAGACAAATGGACAGTGTGGGCCAGCACCACAAACAAAATGGCTGTGTCTAGACTGCATCCCTTTTCCGTAAAAGGGATGCAAGTTAGACATCGCAATTGCAGAAAATGAAGCGGGGATTTAAACCCCCCCTGCTTCATTTGCATAAACATGGCTGCCACTTTTTTCCAGCTCAGAGCTTTGCCGGAAAAAAGTGCCAGTCTAGACGTGGATCTTTTGGAAAATAAAACCTTTTCTGAAAGATGCAAATTCCTTAAAATAAGGTAATTGCAATGTGTCTAATTTGCATCCCTTTTCTGTAAAAGGGATGCAGTCTAGACACAGCCGATCCCTTTCCACGCCAAGCCAATGCAATGTCAGACCAAGTTCTAGTTTTTGGCCACATTTACTAAGCATCTCCTCCCTATCACTGATTTGGAGAAGACTAATAGCGCTCACGAGAAGTCACTGAAGTGATGCTATATATGTAACTATTACCACAGCAGTACACCTCCATTTGCCAATTCCCAAAGAGCATTGTTTGAACCCCTATTCTTCTGCCATGCCCAAACTCTCCTGCCCCCAGACTCCTGTGGGAAGGGAAAGTTGAAGTCTCCTGGCAAACAGGACACACTGTCAAACTCTTGTGCACAATGGGGAGTGCACCTTTAACTACAAAAACATTGTGCTAAAAAGCTACCTTAATAAATCTGACCTTACCTTGTAGTGTAGACTAGTGTCTCAACCTTTCATAAAGTACCCCTTTTTCCAAAAACAAAACAAAAAGCCACCCTCCAGTTTTCACACAGTTTTTTCTACCATTGCAACACGTTTAAACTTCATCGTAGCTAGGTGGGAGATGAAATTTTTGGGTGTAAAAGGTACAAAAATAAAGCACTATAAAACTTAAAATTCAGTTCTCCAAATTTTGGTTATGTTGACATACTCCCTAGACTTAGAGTACACTTAAGGGTACTCATACCACTGGTTGAGAAACACTGGTGTAGACAAGGTCTTAGAGTGCTCTGAAACACCAATAAAGTGACTGGAATGCTAATCAATACTTACTGTAAGTGGTCTTGTATGCAATTATGAATTCTTAAAGTTGACTGTGTCCCTTAGAGCTATAATAATCCTACTCTATCAAGAGATAAGATTTCAATTTTTCCCCACTATTCAGTCATGTCTATAGTATACTTCCTGTGGCCATGTGGTTTGCTTGAGAATTTATTCAATTCAGGCATGTTTTTGAATCTCTGGACTCTATAGGCCTGGCATTTTGCTATGAAGTACACTTCAATAAAACAGCATGCCAAGTGCTCTTGCTAGGTTCATGAATATTGCTGGTCCAACCTCACAGCACTAACAGCCTTTTCAGATTTGTGGAGCCCTGCACAGATAGAAAGTTTATACCTGGAACTGAAGTGTTCTCAAACTGGGGGCAAAAGGAGCAGAATGTGGAGCGGTCACTTAAAGAGGCTAGCAGCCCATGAAAGCAGCTCCTCTGGCATAGCCATACTGCCCTCAGCCTGGGCCACTGGGGTAGCCAGTAGATAACTTCTGGACTGCTGCATGGAAGGGCTGGGATCAAGGCTAGGGATGGTACAGCTACATTGGAGGGGCTGCCAGTGGAGGGAGTTCAACCCTGGGGAACAGCATTTCCATATTTTGGTCCTTTTGCAGCTGCAGTTCCCAAGAAAACCCTGTGGTTACTGATTTATATCTGCACAAATCAGTGTAGGGCTCTACATATTGTGAAGAAACATCATTGGACGCTTCAACTAAAGCAGTATCTAATGACTAGATAGCAAAAACAAATAAAAGTCAGGTTATGGGTAGCATGCTAACCCTTTGCTCAGCTGCAAACATCACTAGGGAAAGTTAGTACTGCAAGAATTTTATCTCCATATGGGAAGGCTGTGCATAATTTAATCTCATGACCACCACCACATTGTGCTCTGGAAAATCTGGAAATATTTTCACAGCAACAGAATTGTTGAAACTTGCTTCAAGTTCTGAAGCCACATCCTAGGATGAGTTTTTCCAACCCAGTATAACATATTATGTAATGGAAGATTGAGGTTTTTGGGAAAACCATGAATAAATTTGCAGCCTTCAGTGCAGCTAAGTAAAAAAATCCAAGACTGCTAAATTGGACATGGTCTTCCCATTATACCCCCTTGTATGCCCTATGATGATCACTGAAGTCACGTAATCCGATTTCTCAAGACCTTCCCCAGCTAGTGGGCAATGGGGTCCCTGCAACTCTTAGCTGGACCCTACTCTCTCCCAATTTGAGAAAAGTTTTTTTTTTTACTAAGAAGAGTCAGAAGTCAGATTAGAAATTTGTGTATTGCCTGTGACCTGTCTGACTCTTCACTAAACATTCATAATGAAAATCATAGCATTTTCCATTAAAACTACCGGACAAACACTGCCTCCCAACTTTAAGTTCAGGAGAACAGTTCCTGCCATTTTAGTCTGGCTGTTACATACCTTCCTTCAGAGAGGTTGTACGTCTTCTTGTTCGTTTTCGTCCTTTATGATCTTCCTCTAGTATTTTGTCATCAAATCCAGTAAGCTCAATAGTTTCAGACTGACTTGTGGGTCCAGCAGAGAACCACTCTGGCTCTTCTTCAGTATAGGAATCATTCCTTCTACGTTCCCCGAAGACACGTTTGCTATCTCCAAATTCCCTCTGAAGTTGGCAGTTACAGCATGGAGATGGAAGTTAGGAGTTGCTTTAATACTTTAAGAGTTTCACTTTTCCTATTGGTTCATTAGCAACAGTTGAAAACATTTAAAAACCAGAGAAATTGCAGATATCCTTAGCCTACTAGCTTCATCTCCCTGCTAATGGGCTCATTATGCTGTTTAGCATTCTATTCAATTTTAAGTACCAGAAGCTCAAAAACAAGAC